TCAACCCCCTCCCCCCAGCGTACGTTTTGTACGCGCGTGAAAATGATGAAAATAATGGATGACCCCTTAAGGATTTTAAAATATTCCAGACCTGTACGCTTAAACAAAATAAATTAAATAAAAAATAAATAAATAGAGTTAACTTAAAACACAAACAACACGATAGGATATAAGGTGTGATAGAATAATTGGTATACTGTATTTCTGAAGTGCCATTCGTTTTAGGGTTGCTACAATCAGGAGTTACAATCGATGCAATAAATGAAAAGCACTATCTATTTCCTTACATTCCAAAAAGGAGGATTTTGGATGCTATTTAAAATTTGCTGGAGATTGAAAAAATAACTGTGTGATCAATCTGCAAAGCAGATTGATCACAAAATCAGCATGATCTCAAACACCAGAACCCAGCTTTTATTGTTTAAAACTGTCGGCGCCCCATTGAATGAAACTACGGTATTATTATAGTTTATATTATATTTTGTTTAAACAATGTCGGGGGGGGGTTCGCACCTGGGGCCCTGGCGTCCCCCCCTCCCCCCCCCCCCACCTCCGTCAGCGCCCGAGCGTGACGCCACTGATGTAACAACTGCTGATTGTAGCAACCCTAAAAACGAACGGCGCTTCAGAAAATACAGTACAAGTATACCAATTATTCTTGATATCCTATCGCGTTGTTTGTGTTTTAAGTTAACTTAACTTTTTTATTGAAGTGTACAGTTTTTTTGAATATTTTAAAATCCTTAAGTTAATTTTTTTTTTTTTTTATTATTTTCAATGAAAAATAAATGCGATCGTTAATATTGACCTTGGTACGTAAACCTATAATCATAATGACTACTTATACAAAATTTTACTATATTATAGACCTAGACTAGGACCAGGCCTCCTACTATATAGAGGCCTAGTCCAAGACCTTGTTGCAAATCCCAGCCCACATAAAGAATAGCCTATAATGCCTAGTATAGGGCAGGCCCGTAGGCAGGATTTTCGATGGGGAGGTGCGTTTTGCAACCAAAGTGGACCTTACGATGGGTGACTGCCTAGGGGTCCCCATGAGGGTGGGGCGAATCTTCTGGAAGCTCTGACAAATTAGCATTTTGGGGGCCTTTTTTAATGGATTTCTAAAATCCATAATTTGTAATATCCTATTTAAATTTTCATTCATTTAAGTATTGTTTAGGGACCTACAGTAAAAGCAGGAGAAATAGAGGGTGGGGTGAAGGGAGTAACTTGAGACAGATGGTCAATACCACCTCAGCCCCATGATTGGAGCTGAGGTAAAAAAATTTATGATTATGGCTGCACCTCAAAATGGCCGGAAATGGCACTCTCTGAGACAATTATGATTTTTATTTTTTCTCCATTTTCTTTTATAATTTTAGGGGGCTCTTCTCCCTTGAATCTACCAATGTGAAATTATAATTTTCATGTTCTTTACATCTGTAGGCCTACATATGATATGGATCAATCTGCAATCACCGGAGCTGATAATTTCCAACAGATTTCAGCACATTATTAAAAATCAACGGGCAAAAAAATGAAATGCATACTATACTATACTATTATGTATCCAATACTATAGTATTTCGCGATAATTGTGAACGATTTTGTGAACGATTTTAATGAAATAATAGGTTTTCAAAAGTTTGAAATTGGGTGGTCCAGGGGCAGAGGCTTTGAGGGGGTTTGTGAGAAAAGCGACAAAGTAGCATTTTGATGGTCTTACATAATAGATTTCTCAAACAAATTTATGAATATTTCATTTAAATTTTCATTAATTTGGGTGTTTTTGGGACCTGAACAGTAATGTTACTTGTCTACATATTATGTAGATCAATCTGCAATCAACGGAGACGATTAATTTCTAACAAATTTCATGCCACATTACTGTATTAAAAATCAACGGTTAGATACACTGGCAAATATATAATGCAAGGCATGCTTAACATTTTGTGATAATTAGGAACGATTTTGTGAAATCATTGGTTTCAAAAAGTGATACCTTTTGGAATTGGGGGGGGGGGTGAGTCCGCACCCTCTGCACCCCCCCCCCCCCTTTTGCTACGGGCCTGAACTTGTGATCGCGGTACCCTGAACATTAAAAATTAGCAGACGCACTGGGAAGCGTTGTTCACGGCATTGGACTGCAGCGAAAAATGATTCCCCATCATCAACGCTTGGCTGACTAGTTTTGATTTACATTTTGTGTGTCTGTGCCATAAGCAGCAAAAGTCCATGTCAAACCAACCAAGTATGACTGTTTTGAAATACATTTTTCAACAACACAAGACATGCGAAATGTAAATCAAAACTAGTCAGACAAGCGTGACGTGGCCTGTTCCATTAATAATGGGGGAATCGTTTTTCGCTGCAGTCCAATGCCGTGAACGCTTCCCAGTGGGTCTGCTAATTTTTACCGCGAAAACAGGCCCTATACTAGGCATTATAGGCTAGGCTTATGTGGGCTGGGATTTGCAACCATGTCTTGGGCTAGGCCTCTATACTATAGTATGAGGCCTGGTCCTAGTCTAGGCCTGTAATATAGTAAAATTCTGTATAAGTAGTCAATACACAAACAACCATTAAATCATGAATATTTATTACGATGATGCACTATACCTGTCTCTTATACACATCTAAACCAAACATCTTGTTTCTTGGGCTGTAGGGACAGGAAATTGGCCTCAAATTGTCCCATAAATAAGCAAAAGATGGAGCTATTTTGGTGCCCATTGCTGTGCCATGAATTTGAAGGTAATGACCGTCGCCGAAAACAAAGTTACTATTGGTCAGAATCAGCATGATAAGTTCACGGAGATGTGATTTAGATGGGGTTTTGCCCCGAATTTGCTTGTAATTTGAAATGCACGCATTAACACCTTCTTCATGAGGGATATTAGTATATAATGACGAAACATCAAGTGTAGCCA